AATTATTTTAATTGCTAGGAAGCTTAAGTGTCCTTAAACTTTCTGTAAAAGGCACTGATGCATTGCTGGTAAACTGCTTAGAACAGAAATTGTTAAAAATAGAATCATTAACCTACCCAGTTAGAAAAGCTACAGTGAAAGAAGCAATTTCACAAAACATGCACAGTTTTATATATAAATGTTATGGAAATAGACCTTTTATAGAGTTCTTTACCCCATAGCTGGCAAATACAGCAATGTCCATGCCTTCCGACTGTAATGATATATTTTGCCATATATTTTCACTGTTATTTAGTTCTGTAAATCATTTTGTTATCCAATAGGTTGTTTCAAAATGTAATGTGGCAAGTGTAATGTTAAAGCCTAAGTCTGAGTTTGGTTTAGACACACTTGTTACCCTTTGTTTGATATGAAGGCACAGTTGACTGGAGTTCTTCCTTAAATACCAAAGCTCCTTGTAGGCAGAAAGTAACAGTGGAGGGTGTTTAATCAGGCTGTTGTTCCTGGTTGTTTGAGTTCAAACTTAAAGCTGTAGAACACTCGGAAGCAGATGGAATTCAGGACGATCAAATTGAGATCCTGGGCAGCTCAGGCTATTCCTGTGAGATATTCTGCTGTGACGAATGCTTCAAGCAACCTTGTTTAATCTCTGATATCTAATTTGTGTAGGCGTCGACCAGAAGATTATGATATTCATAACAGCAGAAAGAAACCAAGGATTGACTATCCCCCTGAGTTTCACCAAAGACCAGGTTAATATCTTGCTGTGAAGATTTGTGTGCACCAATTCACGAGTGTTTTCTCTTTTACTGTATCCTCGTTTGATTCATAACTGAAGCATTGATATGACTGGGATGTAAAAATGGGACTTGTCCCAAGTGCTGCCTGCCAGTTTAACACACCTCTTGCAGAAGTCAGTGACACTCTCACCGCTTTGGGAGAGCGAGCTGAGTTCATACAGGCCGAGCACTTTCAAGAACCCCAAATTTTGTACGTTGTTGTGAGTGATCCTCTCAAGCGCTTTGTTACTGCGAGCAGTTGAAAATGGCTGATGGGCACAAGAATTGATTTGACCTACTTGTCAGTGCACTAATGGTCAAATTAAAATGTTCATCAGAAATTTCCGACTGGGAAAGTCGACTGAGATCGCCTGACTAGCAGCCTGTGTTTCGAGATGACGGTGGGCATTCGGTTATGTTTGCAGAGAGAACTTTTTTACAAGCTTGACATGAGGCAGGGAGGAGGAAGCTTGGCTGCATTTTACAAGAGGGTCTAATGATGAGTTTGAGGAAGGAATTTTGTTGTTCTCTAGAAAGAAGCATTTGCAGCGGTAATGCAGCAACAACACTGGTAACACTACAGATTTTTTTTTTTCTTCAGAAAGCAGTTATTAAGAAACTGTCACTTTTAATCTACAGAATCTTGCTTCACTGCTATTAGAAATATGTATTCCATATTTCAGTAGTAGGTGTCTAAATCTTTCTTAAGAACCTGCTTTCATCTGTCCAGCTTGACTGCAGAGCCTGTGTTCTTTGATGCAAAAAGAGTGTTGTTGCTTCTCCCTGGCTTTCCAGGACCATTGATTGGCGTACAGAACAATTTATTTTTTTTAAATAATGAAGCTTGGAAACGTTATTTTATTAGCATAAGCATGCCAGGTGGTTTGCACCATTTTAACATTGTATCCAAAACCTGTTAGGAAATCTGCCCTAAGAGTTGTCCAGATGGACACATTCTAGTGAATACATGGTTAATAAGGAGTTTCAGCCATGTACTGACTGCCAAGGAGCAGTACCTTTTGAACTTGGAGACATTCCCAATTCATTTAACTAAAATTCAAGTCTTTATTTGCCCAGAAACCCTCTTGCATATTTGTTTGTACTGTGTGCAAGTTCCTATGAGTATATTTATCATTATTTTGTTACTACATTATATATACTATTTTTCCATGCTGTCAACAAGAAGTTGTAAGTTTTTGAGAGTTATTTTGAAAGCGAGAGTAACAGCAGGTAGACACAACTTCATAGCTGGTGCAAAATGAAAGGGCAATTTCTAATGAGTAGATTTTTTAAGACTGTTGTAATGAGATGGTAAATTGAATTAATACTGCTTGATGTTCGAACAGGGTATATAAAGGATCCCAGATATCCCGAAGTAGACAGGTAAGGTGTGTTCATGTTATTCATTTTATGCCCTGGTAACTTGTCTGTACGGATAAATTGGATTTAGTTCTACAAATTTTTATTCCCAACAGACGATTTTCAGGAGTTCGACGAGATGTATTTTTAAATGGGGTAAGTTGGTGCATGCAGACTTCTGGGGAACTTTTTATATTCAGCTTTCAACGCTTCTGAAGAACACTCGTCACAAATGTTAATATTGCTGTCTTTCATTTTAGTCCTACAATGATTACGTGAGGGAATTCCACAACATGGGACCACCACCACCATGGCAAGGAATGGTTTGTGTCTTGTTGAATTCAGCTTTTTCTCTGTAGAATACGAGTTTTTCTGTTCCACCCTGGAGGAGCCTAGTGTGTTCAATGTGCACTCAATTATTTTCTTAAAAGATATCTTTGTTGTAACTGTGAAATTTTTAGGGGAAAAAATTATTTATATGGAGTACTTTGTAATTTACTTAGCTCTTAGCAATAGTCTAGCATTCTAACAGGTAGTACGACAGCAGGATTTTGGTTTGAACCTGCAAGAAACTGAAAGTTCTGAGGAAATAGCAGAATCCTCCCTTAGCCTACACAAGAGGGCGTGATGAAACTTTGTATTTTGCTAAATATTCATAGTAATTGGCTTTCTCTCAAAAAGCAAATGCATCAAAGAGGTGGACTTGCTGCAGAGGCTCATGGAATGGGCTGGCATGCTCTAGTGTTGCGCAGTAGCTTGCGTTTTGCGATGGCAGTGAAGCATGCAGGAAAGTAACAGAATGTACTGCTCACCATCATCAAAATAAGTCTTGCTGTATTGCAGCCTCCACTGAAGGCACTTTTTTCCCAGTCAGATGAGCACACATAACGTGTCTGTTGCTCCATACATGGAAATTGACTGTACAGCTGTGCTTTCACCATCGTGTCAGGAGGAATGGTCATTATAACTAAATATTTTGATTATATTTTGTAATTCCAGCCCTGAGGGTCCTGATTTTGGTTAACTGTAATGAGCCTTTTGGCTCTTGTGTATACTGTGTATGAGCAAAAGGCAGCGCCAGATGTAGAGATGCTTCTGTAGCCTCTCATTTTTCTCAGCTGAAACACAACTCTGGTTTGTTGTAATTGAAGGAAAGGAGCAAAGTTTTCAGACTGGGAGGAAAATGGTTTTTGAAACACAGCTACACCTCCAGAAGCTTCCCATTTTTTCTCTCCCCTTCTTCCCCATTCTGCATGCTGTCTCAGTAGTCATCCTAAAATCCAGCAGGTCCACCTACTTCCTTTGTGACAACAATGCAAGCAAAGATGCTTTGGTAATATGGGAAAGAAAGGCCTTCCTGATTGAAGAAGTGGAGGGGAACAGCAGAGAGATGTCTTGTTTAAAAACAAACAAACAAACCAAAACAAACCATCTACTAGCCTTTTGTCAAATAATTTGTCTCGCTGAGTAAGGTTGTTGATTTAAAATAGGGATATATTCATAAGGAATGGCACTGAAAAGACACGTTGCTTAAGAGCTCACTAATTTGGACAAAATTCATATTCCATATGCATAGATGAAAAAAAAAAAACCCACCCACCACCACACTTAAGTAGCAGAAGCTTTATGTACAGTGTCACTTTGAGGCAGCTATGGAAAGAAGGCCGGTTTGGAGAGGGTGTTGGCCAAGCTTCTAAAGAAGCAGTGGTAGAGAAGTAGTAAATGTGCGGACTTGATGCAAAGCAGTCTGCCCTTCAGTTAGGAGGCTGTGATCAGATCTGTTCAGATGTCACGTTTTCCATCTGAGTGAAAGTAACCTCTGCTCTTAGTTCCCAGTACCCAGCCTGTGTGCATTCCTTTGTTTTGAAACAGTCAACAAACTTGCCGTAACTTTCTTGTAGCCACCGTATCCAGGTATGGAGCAGCCACCACACCACCCTTACTATCAGCACCATGCACCTCCACCTCAAGCTCACCCTCCATACTCAGGACATCATCCTGTACCACATGACGCAAGATACAGAGACAAACGAGTAGTAAGTGTCAACAGAGACCGGGGGGAACATAAGTCAGGAACAGGAGGAATTTGGGGTACAGATGTAGCCTAACCTGAGATGTGTTGACTTTGCTAAACTACATTTTTAAGACCCGTATTAGTTTTCTTTGGAAACATCAATTAATTAGATTGCCTAGAGACTTCTAGCATCTTCGGAAAGCCTCTTTGTCCTGGGTGATGCAGAAGTCCAAAATTCTCAGAACGTACACTCTGAAAGTGGCTTCCAGCTGTCTAGCTCTGAACTTCTGGTGCTGAAGCCCAGTTTGAATAGGACATACCCGTGACACGGCTCGCGCTAGTGCACAACAAATTACCAGCAGAAAAGGTTGTTTTGTAACTTTCTCCAGGCACATCAGAAAACAGGGCAGATGGTTAAATAATTTCTGCCAGCTGGCTTTGAAGGCTGCTTAGCTTTCGGGTCTCTTGCTGATATCTGGCATTTGAGCCCCAGCTTTTGCACAGTGGAAGCAGAGACATGGTGCTGCCCTGAAGATGAAAGATGGAACTGGTGTTTATGGATGCTGGACATCAATTTTTTTTTTTTCCTTAAAAAAATACTGGGCTTTCCCCAAAGTTGCACCTGATCCTATGGAATAAGGGAAGGGAGGGGATTTTAATCTGAGAGAGAAAATAAACAGAGCTGTCCTTCCATCACAGCACGACTACGACATGAGAGTCGATGACTTTCTTCGCCGCACACAAGCAGTTGTCAGTGGCCGCAGAAGCAGGCCCCGGGAGAGGGACCGAGAGCGGGAGCGAGACCGTCCCAGAGATAATAGAAGAGACAGAGAACGTGACAGAGGCCGTGAGCGGGAAAGGGAGAGAGAGAGGATTTGTGACCGGGACAGAGACAGAGGTGAAAGAGGTAGATACCGAAGATAATCTATCTGGAACCAGTGCTCACTTGAAATAAAAAAAAAGCTTGTATTTTTTTGTGTGTTTACAAGTAGTACATTTTATTTTCAGCCGTCTACTTAAAGTTCGTTGTGTAGAAGGATTTATAACGACCCTCTCTATTCCAAGCATGCAGTGAGCTATGAACTGGAAAATCTCAACTCGGCCAAAAATAAAATACGCAAAGCTGACGCTCAACGTGACGTTTCTGTTGGAGCAGAATGGGAAACAGCTAAGAATGTAGATACTGGTTAATTCTCAATAAGTGTTCATCTACTTAGTGACCTCGTTCTAGGTTTTTGAATACTGATGGATAACTGCCATTTCTTTATTTTTTGCTTTGATGTTTTCTTCCTGTAGTTTCACATGGTTCAGTGGGAGAATGCTGCTATCAAGTATGCAAATATTGAAGTATGATTTTTTTTTTTTGACTGTATGGCAGTGTTGTAGCAGCCTTTTTTCTTTTTTTTTTTTCCCCGACCCTCCCTGTTTTTTAACCCTCTCTGTAAAGTCAAGTGTGTTTTCAGTCTTCATAATGAAAGCAATATTAGGAAGACACTATTGATATCTAATTTTTAACCTTTTTTAAAAATCTTCCCGTGTTCAGTAACATTTTGGTCAATTCTCTTGTCTAGTCTCCTTCCAAAATGTACACATTGCTTGGAATGTTCACAACCTGCGTGTGTGGAACCAGAAAATATTGCTGTAATCTACATTGCTACCTTTTTTTTTATAAAAATAAATTGGTAACTATTGAAATGATTAAAACTCCAGATCGGGTTTCTTGGTCTTCTAAGCTTGCCAGCTTTGATAGATTTGGGCAGCTCTAGGGAAGTATTTGTGTTCAAAGATAACTGAAAGGTTCTTGTGATAGGTGAAATGGATCCGAAGCCTGAATTTGGGAAAAGGAATGCTGAAATAAAAGGTTAATTGCTTTTCTGTTTCTACTGTGAAGTAGTCAATTTATGGCTCCTGGAGCTAATCAGGGTTATTAAGGCCCTACATGTCCAACTTAATTAGATGATCTTTGAGCTATTGATAGGCTCTCCTCAGCCATAATCATACCTGTCTCCTAGGAGTGTGTTAGTGCTTTGAAGATCTAGGCTCTCCCCATGTCTTCTTTGTAGTGATTACTGCATCACTTGTTATTTATTTTTTCTTTTCTTACTTAGGAAATATTTGAATCTAAGTGCCAATGGTAAAACTGAAGAGGGGAACTTGTTCAGTTTCTCCAGCAATTTCCTGGAGAATGGTTTGAGTTGGAAAGGACCTTAAAGATCAGCTAGTTCCAACCTCCCTGCCATGGGCAGGAAAACCTACTACTACGTTGCTCAAAGCCTCATCCAGACTGGCCTTGAACATTGCCAGGGACGGGGCATCCACAACTCCTTTGAGCCACCTGTTGCAGTGCCTCACCACCCTCAGAGTGAACAATTTCTTCCTTATCTCTAATTAGATCGGCCGTCTTTCAGTTTAAAGCTGTGACCCCTTGTGCTATCACTCCATGCCCTTGTAAAAAGCCCCTCTCCTAGCTTTCCTCTAGACCCCCTTTAGGTACTGGAAGGCTGCTAAAAGGTCTCCCTAGAGCCTCCTCTTCTGCGGGCTGAACAACCCCAGCTGTCAGCCTGTCTTCATAGGAGAGGTGCTCCAGCCCTCTTACCATGGTTGTGGCCCTCCTCTGGACCTGTTCCTATGGCTCTATGTCCTTGTGTTGAAAGCAACAGAGCTGAGCGCAGTATTCCAGGTGGAGTCTGGCGAGAGCAGAGCAGAGGGGCAGAATCACCTCCCTAGACCTGCTGGCCATGCTTCTTTGGATGCAGCCCAGGACACGGTTGGCTTTCCAGGATGCCAGTGCACAGTGCCGGCTCATGTTGAGCTCCTTAACCAGCACTCCCAAATCCTTCTGCTCCAGCCTGCTCTGAATCCATTCTTCACCCAGCTTGTGCTTGTGCTTGGGATTGCCCCGACTCATATGGAGGACCTGGCACTTGCCCTTGTTGAACTTAACGAGCTTCGCACAGGCCCACCTGTCAAGATCCAAAGGCTTGACGTATTCCTGCATATGATCCTGTCATGACCACAGGAACTGCACCAGAAGTTACCATGAGAAGCAGTGGTCTTGTTCTAACCCCTCTTTAGTTTGGAAACAATTAACGTGAGCTTTTGTAACTGGTGTAGTATGAAGAGATTCAAGCACTCGTTGAAGCTATTCAGGTTAAAAGTTAACGTA